TATTATATATATATATATAAAATGTGTGTAAAACAATTTTATTAAAAATTCAAATTAATACATTTTCATATATTGTGCTATTATTCGTTGCTTGTAGTCATATAATGAAGTATGAATATACAAACGCGGAAACAAATGTGAATCGATGGTTAGTTGTAATTTTCCACTGAAACAATATAACTGTAATATAACATACGTGTTATATTTACAATTATATTAATTATTGAAAGAGAAATTACAAACTGGGTACGTTACATATAATTTTGTATTGCTGGGATTTTTCTACCTGATGAATGAGAATGTTGGTTTCTTTCCAGAAACAGTACGAGGCTTATCTACTTCGCGCTTACGCCAATCACCGACCACCCGGTAGCGTCACCGAGGACAGCGGTATCGCCAGTCAGAATGAGGATAAATACACGAAGAAAACCGTCTCGTTGGCACGTCCCGATTTAGCATCTGCGGAAATAAGAAGCGTTTCATCACCGCGAGTGCATCCAGGAGCGCCTGGTCCACATCAGTCAAGTCAGCCAAGGTCTACCTCCGCGTCCAAGTTGCACGTAGATCAAATTGCCGTAGACGCTTCATTAAATAATCCTCCATCAATTTTGACGACTGCGCCATTAGGCGTAACTCTCGATGTCGATCATCCTCAGACAAGTGTTCTACATGGACCGCACATTTATGCTCCCATACCGAACGCCCATCAATATCCGCGAATGATACCTTCCAGTTACGACGGAAGTGCGCCTCGCAATCTTCAGCATGTTCCGGACATTCGGGTTTCATATGCGGAAGCGCCGGTTTTGTCAGTTGCGCCTTCGGATAATCCCAATCGATTCTTTAGGGAGCACATGGAATCGGCGCAAGTCGCATCCGGTCTCTCGGCAACTGCGCGGTTTTCCGCTGAAGATATCGCACAATATGAAAAGAGCGTGCCAGTTCCACACCAATTCGATCCCTTGACCTTACGTTATCATCATGACACCAACATATTAATGTCCGATCCGCGATCGCGGATAAGAGAATACGATCCGTCCGATACCGCAGCTGTGGAACAAACCTTAGTGACTGGGAAATCGAGTACATACCGAACAGGATCTGACGCGAACATCGTTAATCAGGTCGGTTCACTACCGGGATACATGGACTACATCTTAGCGAGTTCGCAAAAATCCGATGACGAAGGATCCATTCGTTCTATCACCAGCGACGACCTGGACAGTTTGATGAGGCGCAACGAACATTTGTTGTGGGGCAACGCGGATGTTGCCAAGACTTTGCGCCGATCACCGACCGCTTTGGCAACAGACAACCTTAATCTGGATGATAACGGTAGGACAGCAATTCTAGAGAAAGAACTGGATCGATATATCAGTAATATCCGGAGAATTCATCGGGAACATGGCGTGCAGAGCGTGGACGAACTGGACCACGAGCAGAATACTAGCGGTGATCTGTTAAATGTCTCCCTCACCGAAGATGGTCTGGAACTTTCAGCCGAGGATCGGGCGAGGAAGGAGAGGGTACCCGAGGAAATGGGCAAGATTCTAGCATTGGCTAGCGATCTCGCGTCCAGGACGGCGACTCTGAAGGATATTGCACGAGATTCGGTCGGGCAAAACGATAGCGCACCCATGGAAGTCGAGAATAGAATTCGACATCGCGAGAGTGCAAAAAGCGATGCGTCGGAATTTAATGAGAAAAGCGAGGCTGAAAGACGTACGAGAAATGAAATTCGTAAAGACGTTGCGACACATTCAGCGAAATTAGATCAGCCGCGCGGAGACGCGCAGATTGCGAAAGAGGACTGGAATAACGCGGTCGATTCAGCCGAGTCGCAGGAACGCGATCGGGAAATACCTACTGCGAAGAAAGACAGCGTGAACGAGGAGATAGCCGCGAGTGACGGATCACGGATCGACGATCCGAAAAGTGCATCGGATGAGAAACGACTTGATTTTGTAACCGGTAAAGAATCGGATATCGATGGTGTGTTCGATGCTGCTGAGGAACTGGCGCCGTGGGATCTTGCGAATGTGCAGAAAAAAGTTCGCGAGTTACATTTGGATGAAACCGACGGAGACCGAGCGGCGGGAAAAAATGTCGAAGACACGATGGACGTCAGAGAAGATATCGTGAGCGAATCGCCACGATTCATCGAGCAAAACGTGGATGACGAAGTGGAGAACGCGCGCCCTCCGCAGGATACACTTCCTTGTTCAGAAATAGAAACGAAAAGGTTGGACACGAGCGAGGTGAACGAAACCGAGGAGCAAACTGAAACATGTGAACCTATCGAGGACGCTCAAACTGTTCTCACTAATGTTTCGGATCAACACTTAGTTGATGAACCTAAGATCGCATCGCAACTGGATGAGAAACTTGGCGAACCAGACGGAAGTGAGAGAAGAAAGTCGGGCAACGACGAGACGACGGAACTTCAAGTCGACGGTCAATTCGAAGGTGTTGTGAAAGATAGTGAGTACAGTGCCGAGCAAGGATACATTGAGGATCCGAACCAACCACAGCAGTACGAGCAACAAGATCCAAATCAGCAATATTACGATCCAAACATGCCATACGAGACTGGTAACGAGGAGTATTCGAAATATGCTGATCAAGGATACGCTCAAGATGGTCAAGAGTACGTCGAGTACGTGGCTGATCAGTACGAGCAGTACCCCGAAGATCTCGATAACCAACAGTACCAGCACTATCCTGACGGGCGGTACGAGCAGGATCCGAATCAAGCGTACGATTATGGCTACGACCCCAATCAGGGATACGGGGATCCTGCTCAGCAATACGACCCCAATCAATACGAGAACAATCCTGACACTCAGGTGTATGATTACACTGAGCAAGTTCCCTACGATCCTAATCAGACATATGATAACGCATACGAACAGGAGTACAAGGAGGAACAGCGGAATCTTAACGATGACGCCGAGGATCGTGTGGAGAAACTAGAAGCAGAAGAGACCTCACAGATACAGGTGGATTCAGAATCGGAACACAAATCGAACAAAGATGAGGATAAATTGCAACAGGCAGACATTAACGGGGCGAGTCAATCGAAGAAGAAAAAAGACGTAATCAAGTCCCTGTTGGATTCCGACACAGACACGACGATCGAGAAGAATGTTTCGAATACAGAAAGTGATTTCGATTTTAATTAACATATGCGACACATCGAAAGGATATTAAACTTGTTGCGGATGAAGAAAAATGGCTACGACGTGATCTCCTTAAACAGATATGAGATTTGCGTCTTCAAATGCCGACGTGAATTCTATGATTAAAAGAGACGGATATGAATAATTCTAATTTTTATTGAAATGTGCAATGAGAGAGAAAAGAGACATATATATTTAGGTAGGTGAAGCTAAACTAGCGAATGTTAATGAGACAAATGTGATCTGAGGAGGTGAACGCGCAACTGAATCTTGAATGAATTACAAAAACGAACTCCGTTTGTCCAGTTTATTCGTGAGAGTGGCTAAAATATGGGACAGTGAATTTAATTTTAATTACAGTTTCAATTAGAGCCCACAAGTTGTAGCGAACGGCGAGAATAATTAATTACGTCGGAATTTCGCTTGCTACCATAAATATCATATTTACATAATGTAGATGTAGAATAAAATGGTGAAGCAAAATGCGAGTGAAAATGTATATTATTTCGTGGACGTTTACTTACTCTCGGAAAGGAGAGAATCTTTCGTAAATGCGTATTTATGCAGTCGCGAAAAAATTGTTATAAAAACACATATCATTTCCTTTTACTTTAAAAATAACGCAAAGGCGTTATTTCCGAATTATTATGAATGAGTTCAGTAAACATTATTTTAAAAGTGAACTAACTTATCATAAAAAAATGTCAAAATCGTTATTAGATACTAAAAAAAAGATGGTTTTTTAAAATTGTGATTTTAGATTGTGAAACGAACATGAGAATCGTTATTACTAAAAAAAAGATGGTTTTTAAAAATTGTGATTTTAGATTGTGAAACGAACATGAGAAGAGTGATATTTGATCATGAATATATTCTTTTTGCTAATATTTTTTAATCAGTAACTAATTTTCTGTCAAGTTGAAAATAATTTTCCCCTTTCTAATTCATTTTTTAAAATTGTTAGTTTTAAATGAGAGCGATATCATGTAAAAATTGATTATTTTATTGAAATTAATTATTAAGAAAGACTTTCATTTTTTACGAAGGCGAAAGAGATAAATATTCGAAGAAAAATTAGTAACCGTTGCAAATTTAAGACAGCAATGTCAACTAATATAGAAAAAGAATTCTCTTCTTTAAAGGATTTTTTTTTGAAGAATTGCTCGTGAAGAATTGGATTTCCTGTTCCATTTTTTCATCCAAAGTACATATTGCGCAATATGTGCAATAATTAAGTGTTAATAAATTATATATTGATGTATTCATGTTAATAATTCATTTACGTATTATAACTAGACATGCGCAACAATCGCGCAAGTACATCGACAAATTCGTTTTTTCATTTAACAATCTTTTTTTTTTAATAATTAATACATTAAACAGGGCAAATAAGAGTCAAGTTACAATTAAAAATCTAAACCTGATAATTTATTCTAATATATTGCGAAGAATATCACGTAATTTTTGGCGTTTCGTCCAAAATCTTTTTTTTTTTTTCATGCAAAATTTCAAGACTGAAGTTTACAAGTTTGAAAAACCGATCGAAATCGTAGCGGCTATACGTGAGTCCCTTCGAGCTTTTTTTTTTTTTACACTAATCTACCCGTGCAAATAATTTATGCGTACGCATCGCGACGCGAGACCCCCCCAGTCCCTCGCCTCCTGTATAATTAGTGCAGCACGGTGGCGGTGTGGCGGTCAGTCGCATGGTATGGATTTTCACGGGATCGACGGGGAATGAGTCTGCGCCAGCCGAAACGTCGCGGTTCGCAGCTGTGTCGCGCCTCCTCGACCAATCACGCTCAGTGCCACGCGCGTCACACCACGGGCGCAGTGCCGTAGAAGCTGCCGGTGAAGAGATCGTTCGTTCATTTCGTTGCAAGCGCTCCGAGAAAGGTAGGTACCTCTTGTGCCTTTGTCGCAGGCTTATTTCTCTTTATCCGCATTATATTTCTTCCTCTTGTTTTTTTTTTTTTATCGTCACGCAGAACCACGTTGTTTCGCGAAACGCGATGCGCCGTCACGTTCTTTCACACGGGCGAATTGGGTGAAAAGGACTGAAAGAGGCAGAGAAAGAGAGAGAAAGGGAAAAGAGAATGAGGTGTACATGCATACACAAAAGAAATTTTTGCAACGCTTACACAATGAAACAGATAGTTGAGGAATTTCATCGTAAAGCGGAATTATATTTATTCAAGTTGCGTTACATATTTCAATTCTGCTTGGAGGAACCAGGTTACTCTCACAATCAAATTCCATCTATCGAAGGATTCGATTAAATTCAACATAAGCCTCTTAACATAAACGATGATTATATATAGTTAACAAACTTCAAAGGATTCTAATCGATAGCAGGCAACGTGTGTGTACAGAAATATTTATTGGAGATTATTATAAGTTTATAAAAGAGAGGATTGCACACACAATTTGCACGCGCCGGGTCATTCATGTCTGATACGTACATATATCATACACAATACTATATAGTATATATACTTTCTATACGTGCTCCGATAAGCGTATTATCTAATTTACGTGCGGAGGCATTATATAGCGACCCCATCCCGTGTGCCCGTACGTCACTTCGATATATCGTAGATCGTAGGCAGTGACTCGCAGCGTGCGTCAGATTCCACCGTTACGACGGACACGCGCACGACGCAAAGCGTGTTTACGTGGCGCAGCTGGAGGACTGGAGCGTGCGGTTCGCGATCGGAGTATTCATATTCGCGATCGGAGGTACATATTCGAGAGGAAAATCTCATGCGTCAGCGTCGACCGTAGTCGAGCCGCGTCCGCTCGAATCGTCTCGCGGTCGTCGAGCGGTGCCTTGAACGTCGCTGGACACCGCTGGCGGACGCCCTCGAGCAACTTCACTCTGTCGATTGTGCGGATCGAAGTAGGCTTGCGGATGACGCGTCCGGCTGCGCCGCGATTGGCCGGGCGCGTGCGGCCGCACCGCGATTGGCCGAACGCGTGCCGCGCGGTCTCCTGATTCGCACGTTTCTTTCGTCGCGTCTATTGTAGCCGCTCGTCCGACAGTGGCGATCTCCATCGCGCGGCGCGCGCAAGACATATTCCTCGTCGTCCACAGGGCCAAACGAAACGAGCGTGAATGTAAGTGAGAGACAGACCCTGTTTCCTTTTTAGGAGAAATATCTATATAGTTCCTAAAATAATTGTAATATTTTTTTAAACTGGAGCTGAATGGAGTGAATCCGGATGAGATAAATTGCACCATAGCACGATATAGATGTTGGGCGATGATAATTTTTGCTTTCGCTGCATGAAACGCGTAAAAATTCTTACGACGAATCATTAGCATATCAATTGATCTGGCACGAGCTGCACGTGTGCTCTTTCTCTCATAAAAGTCTCTAATGACTGAATGTGTTAGCGAAGGAAGAATGACGTGTACACATTTATCACCGTACTGGCCTATTTAAACTATACATATATGTATATATCTTGGCATTTTACGTTAGTATATATTTTTATATTTTATTGTATGCATATGGAGATGGAAATAGTGTGCAAATATTTTTTCGCGTAATTTTTTATTAACAAGTTCTTTAAAAGGCCTGTCACGTAATAATAATTTAATATTTTGGAATTATTATAGCTACATGTATATTATATTTTAACCTTCCATTTGCAATGTGAGTCTTTTTGATACAAGCAAAATTTCTCTCAAATTATGCTCCGAAATAAGAGAGAACGGAGTCCGATTTCCTCTCCTAAAAAGGATCATGTTAAAAAATTGTTTGGTAATGTAATAAGAGAGATGTTGAAAAGTATGGTCATAAAAATTTGTTTACATTTTTGAAAGCCTAGAACAGTAGGCAAAACTTGAGCTAAACAAAGGGTTAATTATATTACTAATTATTTTATTATATTAACTATTAATTATTTCGGAACATTATTTATTTTTATTACTTATTTTTTATTATTCATTTATTTATTTTATTTATTTTTGCATATGTTATACAATAAATTAAAAAGTTACAAATTAAAATATTTAATCAAAACAAAGATAAATAAGTAATTATTTATATATTGAAAAACGCAAAGCAACATTCAAGCAAAAAATAATTTAATCAATTTAACAAGGTTATGATAATTATATTTCACTATTTAGTGACAATTGTTGACGATATTTTAACATAGAAACTGTATAAAGTAAAAATTTGTTAGTTAAGAATTGAACAAAAAGTTATCTTTAGATATAAACTTTTTTGGATTATGATGTAATAGGGTACGTTAAGTTAGCACCCCAACTATAGTACTCAGGAGTTCTGATTAGAGTTCCCACTTCCTTTTGACGAGACGAAGAGTTCCCTATAGTTAATAACAAGAGTTCCGCTCAATAAACATTTTTTTTACATTTTTAAAAAATGGGGTGCTAACTTTTTATCGAATTTCGAGGTGGAATAGTTCTGAGCGGCTTAATAGCTTCAATTTGCGATTGCCTAGAGTTCCTGATATGTAAAAAAAATTTTCGAATAATAAAAAAAAATTAAAAATTTTTGAAAAATTAATTTTTAGATACAATAGTTCTGATGATAATTCCTGCTTCTTTTTGACGATACGAAGAGTTCTCTATGATTTTTAATGACATATGCGCTTAATAATCATTTTTTAATAATTTTTTAAAAATGGGGTGCTAACTTTTTAACGAAATTCAAGGTCGCATAGTTCTGATCAGCTTAACAGAAGTATTTTGTGAATACCTAGAGTTCTTGATACATAAAAAACATTTTTGAATAATAATAAAGTTTTAAAAAAATAGTAGAAGTCTTTGAAAATTTTTTTGAGAGTACCGAGTAGTTCTGAGTTGCGTTTCTTATAGTTCTCGACGAGTTCTATCGAAAACTGTAAGGTGAAAAAGCGATTGGACCAATGGTTTGCAAGATACAGCGACATTTGTCAGAAGATCAACAATTTTTAGAGTATACCTCGGAAACCATTGGTCCAATCGCTTTGAGCCCTGATACTTTTCGACAGAACTCGCCGAGAACTGTCCAGAACTCCGAACAGAACTACTCGGTACTCCCAAAAAATTTTTGACCAAAAATTTTTTTCTAAGTCCCACGTCGGAAAATTTTTCACGTCGGAGAATTTCGTTAAAAAGTTAGCACCTCATTTTAAAAAAATTATTAAAAAATGATTATTAAGCGCATATGTCATTAAAAATCATAGAGAACTCTTCGTATCGTCAAAAAGAAGCAGGAATTATCATCAGAACTATTGTAAGTATTCGAAAATTTTTTTTACATATCAGGAACTCTAGGCAATCGCAAATTGAAGCTATTAAGCCGCTCAGAACTATTCCATCTCGAAATTCGGTAAAAAGTTAGCACCCCATTTTTTAAAAATGTAAAAAGAATGTTTATTGAGCGGAACTCTTGTTATTAACTATAGGAAACTCTTCGTCTCGTCAAAAGGAAGTGGGAACTCTAATCAGAACTCCTGAGTACTATAGTTGGGATGCTAACTTAACATACCCGATGTAATACATGAAATATTCAACTGTCGCGCATACTATAAATTAATCGAAAGATCGATTGTGTATACCCGTGTAGAATTAAAATTACGTCGTTAATTGTTGTATACTAATAAGCAAACTACAATACGCTCCTACTTATGTAGGAATTAAAAATTAAATCGCAAACTAAATTTCCATGACGGAAAAATATTGCACATCACTGTTTTCTAAACGATTCGAAATTCCACAGTAATTACGATAATGATGCGATTAATCTCTGTTTAAACGAACGCGACTCTTAATTGGTAGTTAAAACATTTGAGCTGAACGTTTAAATCTGATACAATAACAAATTTGTTGTGTCACAGATAAAAGTAATCGGAGTACACAACATGATCAATATGCGAATCAGATTGTAGTAGTGATATATCATGTTAATTTCGTTTGCGTATCTTTAGCAATTAGTCAATGATTTGTTTCTTAGTTCTTTCCTATAATTTTTCCATTATTAATCATACATTATGATCTTTCATGCATTTTAGCACTCATACATTTTGTTAATTAGACAATTAAATAATAATAATTAAATTCTTTCTTATTTAAAATTGTTACAAAGATTAATATCGCAATGTGGTTTTATTTTCTCACAATTAGCTTTTCTTATCACAAGATAAGCATGCTTATGCGATTTCGTCGATAAGAAGAGATCTTTTGATACTTGGATAGAAAAGTCTCTTGATAATATAAGAAAGGGAAGATAAATTATAGTTCAATATGTGACAACTTTTATCGAAGAACAATCAGTGCATTCTTAACATTTTATTTACTATAATATAATATAATTTATTACTTATTTAATTGTATAATAAAATTAGTAATAATTATGAATATCGAAAAAAAGAATATTAAACTATTAAAGAAAAAAGATATGTGTTTAGCAAATTGTGTCAGTGTTACATTTGTTGTATTAATTTTTTTTACCTAACATTTGTATTATGCTCTATTCATAATTATTCATTATTTACATAACATTTGTATTATGCTCTATTTGTGTGTATTATGAACATATTTATCTTGTATTAAATTAATACAAAAATTTGAATGAATCGTTTGGGAGATAAAATGTATTTTTAATACAAATTTCCTAATTGTGTTCTTGGAATTATTAAATTTACTTTATACATCTTCTTACGCAAAGCGCGTTGCAAACTGCGCGCTTCGAGAGCTTATCGTAAAATCAATGGCTGATAATGCAGCCACGTCAACATCGCGGATAATTAAATAAAGCGAGTGCTCACAAGATGATGAACACATTTGCAGAATTATGGAGGATGTGATGGCTGTGAACGGCGTGAAGGAGGTGAACGGTGACACAGACAGGCTCTACTACGAATTGGATGGCGAAGGTGATGCCGATAGTTCGACAACTCCGAGCCACAATGTGGATCACCATCGCGATCGTGAGTATCCATCGATTGTTATTTTATGATGTAACCGATGTCTAGTCTATTAGTCGTCCAAAGAGCGAGCCGTTACAACATGCGATCATAACTACTGGGCAACGATAATGAGAACGATTTTGAAGTTAAAATGGTCAGGATGTTATTCTTCGACAGTCGTTTATCCATCGAGTCAGTTATTCTTTAGCTTTTTGAAGCGTTAATTTAGAAAGTACAATATTATCTTTGACAAGCGTTTATTCGTTCGTTACATCAAAGCTACCCTTTGACCTCCTACTCATATTATGAAGTATGAAGCTATATAAATTTTTGAAGGTATATTTATCCGTCCAAAATAGACACTATATTTCTTAACTTTTTGAATGACCCTAAAATCAAAAACAAAATCATTCTCGGATTATTTTGGAATTTTTTTCTTGACAGAGATAAAATCAGACGCTGTATTTTCCGCAACTTTGCGCTTCAAATGGCCGATCACCTTCTGCAATTATATGCCACGGAACGAGCGCGAAATATACATCGTGGAATTAGACGATGCATTATAGTAGTCACAAGTTCATAGCTTCAACGTTTTATTTGGCCGCACGAAAGGCGAAGTTAATTAAAGTTCGCGAGAGGGATGGAGATCGATATGAATTATACTCTGCAACGCCGCGAAAGGAAGACAAATACTTTGGAGATTTTTTATTATCAGAACTCACTGATTCTCGTAGTGCTAGGTACGAAAATGCTAATTTGAGAAGTAATAAATAAATAATCAAGAAAGTCAGGAAAAATTTGTAACTAAAATATGAACAAATATCGAAGAATTTTCACCGATCGATACGATAAATTGAAATAATTTTTCTATGCTTCAATATTGTATTCATCTCGTCATATCTCAAAAATTTATTATTTGTAACAATTTTTCAAACACGCGGATTATTAAATTCACATAATATAATATATTCATATATTCAATTGAGATTTTAATTTCAATTATTGACTAACTTTTTACAACCATTCGAGTGGATTATTCGCGTAAGAATTGCGGTTTAATTTTTTTCGAATTGTCTGCGTCGAGGAGTCTTAACTGCATTTTTATTAATTAAGACAAAATCCTGTTGATGGACGGGAGTGAAAATTTCATAAATTGGCAAGTAGCCTAAGGCCTTCTCTCTGCAGACGGCCGATAGTATTTTGGCCGCCGTCACAATGGTGCCGACGGTTCTCGTTTCGTCAGTGCGAGGCGAGACTTTCAGAACGTGAATAGAGGGCAAGAGTTAGCTTCCTAGAAGTAAACCACAATTCGGTCGTCACGGTAGTTTCGCGGCGTTCCTCGTTGAGTTGCGTTATGCACAGTCGTAAGTCCCGAGATAAAGTGGCAAATTTGTGAAAATTTAAGTTTTTGAAAAAACAGCTTTTTGCAGTAATCGCACGGCAAATGGAAAAATCGACGTTAGTGGTGAATTCTGAAAAGTGACATACGTAAAGTTTGAAAAATTTTGCGAAAATAATTTCGGTAGTGATCGCACAACCGAGTCGAATCCCGATAATTGATTGGCGAAGATACGCTTCTCGTGAAAATCTGGTACATTTTTCAATTTCCATCTAATTCGGTTTATTAGGTTGGGTGAGTTATAAATAACTCTTTATTTAAGTTCCTATTTTGTTTCTAATGTGTCTCAAGTCACAAGATAAGTAACTTTAAGTACTCTAAAAGATTAAAAAAGTTAATTATTACGTTGGGAAAAAAGTTTTGTTGCATTAATTGGAAAATCCAGATACTTATAGCTAAATCTATCAAGTATTCAAGTTCAGATAATCAGAAATCTAAAATAAGAAATCTAAAATAAATTACCATTTAATAATTTCTTAGCGAATTAACTTAATCACATAATAATATATGATATAACGATGACGTTTAATTGCCAAATATTTTATTGAATTAAATTTTTGTATTATATATTTCAAAATCGAAATTTTAGCTCAACTATTTTTCAAACAAATATTTATACCTGCCGATTGCTCGTCGACGCCAGGTATTGATAAACTAACGCTTTTATCGCTTTCGCGTTCGTAATCCAATCGAAATACGATCAGAGTTCGCGATCACGTTTATTGTGTTTGAATTTATACACGTTCGAATTGTTTCGGCATTCCTTATTTGTTTTTCGTTCATTTTTTTTTTTGCGATCTTATACACGGGCTGGCACGGTTGATAAGCACGGCGATTAGCACATTATTTAGCGTAACGTCTCCGACGTTGCTAAAAGCGCGTCACAACGACGACGCGCTATTAGAAGTCACTTCGCCGGTATCGAGCTCGATATCGTCGTATCTCTTGCAAACGATTACAGTATTTCTTGAGAGTTTTTGCGGTATCGCGAAAGATTCATTCGCCGCATCCTCTAGTAATCTCTCAAGAATCTTTTATTATCAGGAGGAACGAGTTAATAAATTTTCTGTCGACGTAAGGGACCTTCGGTAGTGCGATTTACGCTGCATCGAGGATCGCGTGACTTGGGGCGACCTGGGAAAAATGTCGATCAGGGGTGTGACCACTTCGGAGAGTGAAACGTTCCTTGGTTCCTTGCGCCTGTCCAATTTTCTGATCGATCTGGATGAATTTTACGAAGGTAAAAGCGAGCGCCGGACGGCTCGTGTGTCTGTCGGATTGTGCTGCAGCTTGTAACCGCTTTATGTCGGGAACGATTTAATTGGCAAAACGCATTTATGTCGACGTCACTTTGCCGCGGAATTGTCCCAGATAACGACATTTCTGCGTCGCGGAAGAATTATTCCGTGTGAATAACACGTGTGAATAACAATGATGACGGGATCTTTATGTTCGCTAACATCGTCAACATCTTTTATCTTGTCAATAACACAACTAACCGAGTCACCGTATCCACGTATACTCTCAATTGCGAAATGTGTTTATTGTCAGATTATTATGACTACGAGTTGTGTAAAGAATCGTAATTTTTTTCGTTTTTTTATGCCTTTCTAGAATTTTCTAACTATGAGTCATGTCGCTTATCTTTCTGCAGCGTAGATATCTAAAGCATCGAGCTCTTCATTAAAATTGAAAATTATACACGTTATTGCGTCACTCGGAGATGTTATTTTAATAATTAAAAAAAGTGTTGTTCTAATATATTGTTTAGACGATTATATTCCGCTTGAATTAGTAAAACTGCGAGTCATATAAGATAGCGTCAGTATATAAATTGGAGATATTACTGTAATGATTGAAGAAAATATTGCTCTAGTTTTTGCATTGTTTTGATGATTCTTACTCTGTGCTTGAATTATCTCGCTAAGACTTTTTATACACCGATAATATAACGCGTTCGAATGATGTAATTCTTAAGAATTTCAAATAATTCTTGTATATTTATGGTTAAGGCCAAGGCATAAGTCTCGACGTTTATCTATTATTACGTAATTCTAATGCACTCGTTTCCGACTAAAATAGTTAAATCGATTATTTTCGTAAGAATGTTATTTAACAATTTTTATTTTTTAAAATTCTGTACAAAGAGTACAAATTTAATTAAACAAGTTTTAATAATTTTTATATTTTGACGTTTTAGAGTTGTTTTTAATTTTATTAGAATAAGCTAGTTTGTAATTGGAAGTTTTTTTCTTCGACACAGTGTGGTTGTAGAAATGAAAAATATTCCAATTACAAAACTGTTTTTCAGAAGAATTATATTTTATGCTATCACACATTCTCGACATAAATTTTCATGACATTGCTTATACGTAGAAATCAGAAATAAAAAATATTCCAATTACAAGACTGATGTTTTGGAAGAATTATGTTTTACTTTTTATGTAAGCATCTTACAACATAAACACACACTTCCATAATATTGCTTACAAGTTGCAATTCTATATCACATTATAGAAATCATTAAGAAAATATTATCGATATAAAACAATGTGCTATCCGAGGAAACAAAATACAACCGAGAAATAGTCGAAGATACTGTTACGATATTTCTCCCTATAATTTACAGAAATTGTATGATTACAGTAAAACCGTATACCAATTATGAACTTATCTAAAACTCGCTCCAAATTCTACGATTCTGAAATCACTACAGTATATCCTGCATCTTTTGCGACCCGAGTGTTTACATGAGTATCAAAAATATTGACGCCGATTTATTTTCGTCTCACAGCGTGGTATTTTTGTCGCGAGAACCGGGTCCTACGTGCCAGAAGAGAACGGAAAGGTGTCGACGTTCTCGATTGAGAAAAGATTGGGACGTGGTACGCGCGGAGATCCACGGTAACCGTGCCAAGGAGGTGCGGTATTGATCTCTTCCGCGGCTACGTTTACTCTATGCCACTCGTCTTGGCTACTCGTGCTAGTCGCATCGCGCCGCGGCCGGCCGCCAGAAATTGAATCACGCAAATTCACGCGATTGCCGTAAATAGACGTAAATGTAGCGTTCGTTCTTCCGATGCTTCAAGGAAATTTCCGCAGCTTAGAGTCGGTTACATATTGCTGGTAATAGCTGTAATATGCTGAATATTCATGAAAGTTACACTTGTCGGGAAAAGAGAGAAAGAGATTCGCTTTCATTGAGATATAATGGTAATATATTATATTTTATTTTTTGTCGTTATATATCAAAATTATTTTTTTATAATTTGGTATTAACACACTGTTTTATCTTGCACTTGATATTTTTTATTACGAACTTCCAGAGAATTTTATTTTAGTAGAATTTTGATTCAGGAATTGAAATTAGAGAAAAATTAATTGCAGAAATATTTAAAATTACAAGTATTTTTAAATTTAAAAAAATGCTACAAAATAAAAATTTTTGGACAAAAAAATTGATTATAGATATAACTATTAATTGAAACATTCATAGATATGAAGAAACGTACATATTTGAACACATTTTTTATAAAAATTGTTACTATTGTGCATTAAATTTTCTTTTTTTTTGGCTTACATGCACATAAACACTAAATTTACGATTTTTATTTTATGCGAC